GAATGCAACAGTTCAGGAAAACTAACAGGGCAAATCTGCATGCATTACTGTAAATTATTAGAGCCGTTTCTTATGAACAGGAACACAAAACCCTTCCAAACATGTTGATACCATTGAATCCAAAGTAAGAGTTCAGGGTAATATTAATATATATTTTTTAGTTATCCACTTAGAATAATTTTTGTATATTAAGAAAGGAGAAAGTACAAAATACATACATGCAAATAAATTAGAAACTCTGGAGATGCTTAGTGTATCTAAAGCACTTCGTACTTTTGGGGAGTCATGATTCTAACAATTAGCAACATTAATATAAGATAACACAACAAAGAAATTCCACTGATGCATCTACTATCAAAATCAGTTACCAAATGGACAGCAGAGGGACAATTTATTAGCAAAAATATGCAAGTAAATAAGAAGTTACGGAGTCTCCATATCTACCTCGTACTTTTTCATGAGGTCATTCATTCATACTGGCAATAAATATTTGTTGAGCATCTCCTTTGTGCTAAGTTCTGAGAATTTAGCAGTGAACAAAATAAACTGCCTCCACTCAAAGAGCTTACATCCTTGTTCTGGGCCTAGTCCTGAGTCTGAACAAATAATGACTAGAACTTGACCATTCTACTGGGTCGCTGTGAATAGTCATACCACAGCCGAGGCAGGAGGGGTTAGTGGAAAAGGTACTGAAAGGAAGTAGGTGGATAGATGGAAGGTGAGAGATAGGGAAGGAAAGGGGGTGGGGAGCAGGAAGGGATGGGGAAAGGAAAGGAAAAGATGGTGATGGGGCAAAGAACAGGAGCAGAAAGACAAAGACAAAGGTGTACCCTGCAGGCTTTCACATCAGAACATCCCGGCTCCAAACTGTACATTGCTTCTTCTACATGGGTGAGCTTGAGGAGATGGCTCGCCTGCTCTAAACCATGCTTTCCCTCCCTTTAAAACAGGGCTATGGCTGTGGTGAGAGTCACATAAGACAATATATATATATATAATGTATATAAACAATTTGTAATTCATAAAGTACTTTAGACATGGAAGAGGTTATTATTATTTATTATTAAGATTATTATTGTTGCTAAATAGATCAAAGAATATAATTACATGGACTTTTTAAAGAGATATACAAGCATCCCAACATTTTCCTGTTTATTCTAAGTAAAGAGAAAAGCATATAGAGGTAGATGATAATCTTGGCCACAGGCACTATTAGTAATAATTGAAGTTGAAATAGTGGGAGGAAAGAACTAGGTTTAACCTAAGACTATTTAATTTTCAATAAGCACTGAAATTTCCAGGGAAATCTGAAATGCCATTTAATACATCTTCAAAACCACATTATACAGATAGGAAACTTCCTGGCAAGTATTTTTGAATCTTCAGACTGTGAGAGAAAGGAGTAAGAGTTTTAAAAACATTTAATTTGGGGGGCACCTGGGTGGCTCAGTCGGTTAAGCGGCTGCCTTCGGCTCGGGTCATGATTCCAGGTTCTGGGATCGAGCCCTGCATTGGGCTCCCTGCTCAGCGGGACGCTTGCTTCTCCCTCTCCCACTCCCCCTGCTTGTGTTCCCTCTCTCGCTGGGTCTCTCTCTGTCAAATAAATAAATAAAATCTTTAAAAAAAAAAACATTTAATTTTTTTCTAGTTATCTGTATATGAAAAATCTGGTATCTTAATATTAGCAACCTTTATTTTAGTATTTTTATATAACTGGAATGCATATTTTTTCATAGTTATATCAAAAGGGGACTGACCAGCCTCAGAAACAGCTGGGCTATATAGTACAACACAGTCTTGTATCAGAGATGAGCCTTTGAATCTTTGCTCTGCAAACTAAGTTGTTCTCAGTGAACGTCTTTCCCTCTGCTGCCAATATATAGCTCTGTACCTGCCTCTCGGAATCACTGAGAGTATCTTTTACATAATCAGCCTTGAGTAACAGGCAACTGTTAATATTTTTGTTAATGACAGTAACAATTTGCCTGGGAGATTAGTTGACATCTTTTCCTTTGACTTATTCCTGAAGACAGAATTATAAGACATTATTTGGGGACTCCTGGGTGGCTTAGCTTGAAATCCACTTGATTTCAGCTCAGCTCGTGATCTCAGGGTCCTGACATGGAGCCTGGCTTTGGGTCCCATGCTCAGCAGGGAGTCTGCTTGAGATTCTCTCTCTCTCTGCCTCTCCCCCTGCTCACTCTTTCCCTCTCTCTAAATAAATAAATAAATAAATAAAATCTTAAAAAAAAAAAAAAGGCATTATCCGGCCTGCCTATAAAACCTGTTTGAAATCGGTTCTATATAACTTCTGGAAAATAAAACGTTGTTAAAACATACCAAAGTAAGGTGCTTGAGGTCCTATACCAAACTACTTACCAGCCTTTCTTATAGCTAACACCAAATTAGATTGTAGCAGCAAAATCCAAGCAAGTTTCCTTATTAAAAGCCTCAGATGACTTTATAATAATAATAATAGCAATTATTTCAATTCACTACAGCTCCAGTTAGTACATACCAGGCACTCAGCTAGTCACTTTACAAAAGCTACCTCATTTAATCTCAGAATTACATTGTGAAGTAGATTGGTTTTGTCACTATTTTACAAATAAGTAAAATGAGACCCAGGGCAACTGATGACCTTTTCCTCAATGACAGAGCTAAGAAGTGGTAGACCATAACTGAAATCCAAATCTGTCTGGCTTATCTCCATCTAAACCCTCTGACTCATTTCTTTCTCAGTACACTTTTCCTGGGGATATAATGGTTTCATGATACCTCTCCATTAGAAACATTCCATGAGACTCCAAGACCTCTAAAATTTAAAGCTCTAAAAACTGTAACTCAAGATGCCAAGAATACAGTATTTCAGGCTAAGGGCTTCAAGTACAGAAAAGTCCCTGTGATAAGCCACATCCTACCAAAGAACAACAACAACAAAACAAAACAAAAAAACAAAAAATACACAACAACCCAGTAATTACATAAAATACAATTGTCCCATCTTTGAAAAACATATGTAATTTATATATTCTAAAGATACGCTAAAAAGAACTGTTAATAAGATTTAAGGTTGGTTTCTCCACCTATCTATTACTAAGCATACTGACTAAATGGTTTTGGCTTAAAACTCCATCATCCCAAATCGGCTTTTATACACAAAAACTCACTGTTGGTGTGAAAGTCAAAAACAAGGAAACAATGCAATTTAGTTATTGGCAAGCAAAGCAAAACTTTGGCACAAGTAGAACTGCAAAATTAATTGTTCCTAATTAGGCTACCACTCAGTCAAGAGCAAAGTTTGACTGTTCTTTGCTGAGAGGTAACCAGCCCTATACACTCCCAGAGGAATCCCTCAGGAGACCCGCTATAGGATGTTTCTCAGGTTGGCTTCAATAACATGGCCACCCAAATCTTTTTAGGGATACCCTGGCCCTCTTAGTTTGCTCTTGTAAAAGGAATTTATGGCTTTATCAGCACAACCAAATTTCGATTTGCTCTAGAAACTGCTATCTAAATTAGATTGAGCAATAAAATGTTAGAATATATCCAGAGATGAACGGTATTTTTTTTCTGCTGCGTTCACATTTATCACTTGCCCCTGTTCACCATGATGTCAAAATTCTGTATGACTCATTTATCCTACTTATTACAGTTCAGAGGAAGTTCATCACACTAGTTAACCTCTTTCCAAGACAAGGGATTGAATTTCAGTCTTGGAGAATATGACTACCGAATGAAAAAAAAAAAAAAAGGAACAAAAAATAGACAAGAGAGACTATTCAGCTTCTCCACTCCTTTAGATTAAACAAGATAAAATCAGTGCTTGAGAGTAAACATTTTGCTACTTTCTCAGGTCACAAGTTGAGCTGGAAGGACAAGGGGAATGAGCAGAAATGAAAGTCTTGAAAAACTAACTTTTGTACTATATATCACCTAACCCATTATTGTGTGATATGCAAGTGTTATAGGATAAAGGTTACTTGTAAAGTTCTACACTTCCGAGATCACTAATATATAAAGTAGATAATTTTTCCATAATGCTCTATAAATCTAAAAACTCTATATGAGGTGTCAGTGTGTATCTCTTAGTCTAAACTACTTAAGTACTTTCACTAAGGCCCTTGCTGTGGATCCTCCTCATCCTCCACCTGCCAATCCTCGTGCTAGAAAAATATGCATAAATCCATTAGATTATACCAAATAAGTATCACTGGTCATACTTCAATTCCACTTGGTTGTGCGACCCATCTTCCTTAGGTTCTTTGTTAATTAGGTATCAACCAAAACCTTTTCCTTGTAGTTCTGTGTCAACATGTGCATCCAAAGCCTAACTCCAAGGGAGGAGGGAGAAGACTAGAACCTACTGACAGGGAAAAAAAAAAAAAAAAGATGACAGACAGGGCTGGTTAAGAGAGAGAGTCTGCCAAGCCTCTGCCAAGAGCCCGCCCACTGGCTGGGAGATGGGAACCTAACCTTGCTAGGCAAATCCTAGCTTGCAAGCAGTGCAAAATAAAAGCAGACATGAAGATAAGAATTCATGCAATTCAGATTAAACATATTTGTTCTTCAAATGTAGTCAACCTTGATAGTGATACTATTAGAGACAGATAGGTATTCCGCCATGAAATCAAGATACCTTTCCTACTCGTCAAATAATGTTGTCAGATGGGACAAAATTTTAAAACATACCAAGTTCTATCTCTCTGTGTTCTTACATTCACTGAAGGCATCATAACCGTAAAACTGCCCCCTCTCCCCAAAACAGTAAGAAGCAGAGAATTCAGAAAAGTTTTTAAACTCGTCTTGGTATTTACTCATCTACAATAGAGAAAGTGGTGGAAACGGAAGAGGGAGAATTAAACCACGAGTCACAGAACTGTAAAACTGTTTTGTATCCTTACTATGCACACTTCATCACACACCCAAAGTATTAATTGTGAACTGTTCTAACAAAAAAGGGCAGGGAGGAGGCGGGTGACCCTCACCCGGTACTTTACCTGCGCCTACCACGAGGGCCCTGGGCTCACAGCTGCGGATACAGTGCAGAAGGGAGTTGGAGCGAATGTTGGAATTGAGGAAGGCCACCACGCAGCCCAGCTTGGCCAAGCCGAACCACACATGGACGAAGTCAGGCTCGTTGCTCATCAGCAGAGCCACGGTGTCCCCCCTTTTCAGAGCGGAATGGTTCAGGAAGACGTGGGCCACTCTGCTACTCCTTTTGTCCACATCCTGATAGGTGTGGATGTCTCCCTCATAGATGATGAAAGGTTTCTGGGGCTGCTTCTTGGCAAGACTCAGGAATTTATCCAGGACAGTGAACAGCTCCCCTTTCAGTACGTACATCTCCAACCGAATTCCATAACGTACCACCTTCAGCAGGTACCAGAAATCGTCCCAGAAGTAAGGGAACGCGAGTTTCTGCAAGAAATGCAGGAAGATTATTCCAGCCGCTAGTCCTGTTAACCATGACAGGAGCATGGGGGCCACCGGCACAGAGGCAGCTGGGATCCCAGCCCTTCTCCCCAGGTGCAGCTCTCCGCAGAGACCGCACGTCCTCGGGCTTCAGGCTGGCACCTGCAGTTCGCGCCACCGTTTCCGGGAGGGAGAGGGTAATCTTGAGAAACAGAACCGGAAGGGTGCACAGAAGTCGCTCCAACGGATGCTGGGGATAAGGCTTGGGTCACCTGGCGGATGAGGGGAGAGCGCGCGAAATCAACGCGGGCACTCGCAGGGTCCTCGGAATCTAGGAGCCCGGCTCAGCGCCCCTGCCTGGCAAAAGCCCCAACTGCGGCCCGCGCCCTGCGGGGTCCTCTGGCCCTCTCCAGCCCTCTCCCCGCAGGCTGGGTCAGTCCCCGGAGCCTCTGCGGCCCGCAACAAATCCCACCACCCTCAGGACAACTACGTCCAGGGGCAGATGCTCTTCTTCTGGGGGCAGGCTTTCCGGCGGCTGCAACTTTGAGGCTGAACTCGAGCCTGGAGAAGTTGGGGCGGCGACGGCTGAGAAAGGCAGCGGCTTCCCCTCTTAACCCGCCAGAAACCGCGCGGGGTGTCTGGGCCACGCCTGGGTCGGGGATGCAGCAGATTAGTGAGGTCCGGGTCCGAGCCCCGCCCCGGCTCCGCCCCGCGCGCCCCACAGCTCCCCTCGGACGCACGATGCACCCGGTCCCGGCGGACTGCTCCCCGGTGACCCCCTGCGCCCGCCAGGAGTGGCTGCCTCCGGCCCGCGCCGCAGATCCCCTCCGACTGTTCTTGGGCTGGTGTATCTCCTCCGAGCCACCGCGGAGGTGTAGTCTGCCTACCGCCCGCCTCCAGGCTCCCGGCCAGCCCCCGCTCGGAGCGCCGCCGCCGGGACAGCTCGGGCCCCCTGGCCGCCTCCCACCCTGGGCCCGGCGAGGGTGCCGAGACTGGGGCCTCTGGCCGCGAAACGACGGTCCCCGGAGGGAAAGCCCGGGATCCCGGAAGTCCTGGCAAGAGTCGAGGGCAACCAGGCTGCTGGAATTGGGGCGAGAGAGTTCATTCACTAAACAATAAAGGGAACTAAACTAAGCTAGACGCTGGAGAGGCGATTGGAAGAATTAAAATATATGTATTTATATGTATATGTATGTATGTATATATATCCCGACGGAAAGAGAGAGAAAACAACAAAAAAGATATCTATGAATTGGTCAGGTCAAGGAATATTTGAACTCTTTGATTCATAAAACACAAAATTGGGTTGTTCTACAAAAAGTACTTTTAAAAACTTAAAGGCCGGAATTGACGTTTACATTGAAATTTTATCCTTAAAATGCCTAGAAGTGCTTTTTACAGAATTTTACAAAAATATTGATTGATGTGGGAGCTTAAGTCCGTATCCACACACACACCCCCCTCTTTAAGTATAAGATACTATTCTTGGGCGCCTGGGTGGCTCAGTCGGTTAAGGGTCCTACTCTCGATTTTGGCTCAGGTCATGATCTCAGGTTCTAGGGATGTGCCCAGGGTGGGACTGGTGCTGGGCATGAAGTCTGCTTGGGATTCTCTCTCTCCCTCTCTCTTTCTGCCCACCTCGTCTCTCTCTCTTTCACTCTCTGTCTTTAAGAAAAAAAAGAAGAAGAAGAAGAAGAAAAGGAAAAACAAGAGAGAAAAAGATACTATTTTCTGTCCTTAAAAATAACTTTTTAAATTTTCATTTGATAGTTTAAACCATTTACCAGGACTTCAAACTAAAGATCCCCAAGGTGGGAGGGGAAATGGAGAGGAAACAAGTAATTGTAAAGAATAGCAATAAAATTTTATGCAGCACTGATGAAATTTTACTGAAGGTAAGAAACTGAGGGGCATTTAGTTACACATTTTTTTTTTTCTTGCAGACACCATCATCCCAGGCCTCTGCTTTTAAGAAGTGTGAATATATGGTTAATTGCACATAATGAAATGATTAAGCATTGCCTCACATTTCCCTCCTTTTGTCTTATGTTCTGCAGCTGGGTTCTAGCTAACTTCAGATTTCCTAATTAAGAAAACCTGATAACTCCAAGGCAGCCTCTGGTTTATTAATCTGAAAATGATTATTTTGAAATTACAGTGAAGAGCCAAGAAGAAAGACAGGCTCTTTAATCCTATTTGTGCAGATGAAGAAAATGTTTCCTAAATTTACTCAGAAGCTCTGGTCTTTTCAATCCAAAAACATCTTCTCAGTTAAAAAAAAAAAAGAAAGAAAAGAAAAAAGCATTAGTATCAAGTAGTTTTCAACTTGAAAAGCATCTTTGAAATTCGATTCTTTTCTCTCCTAGCTGTAGTCTGCTTCAGTTACCTCCTGGAAAACAACCTTTGAAGCAGACAATAGACTATGGAGCAATGGGTCTTAGGCTTTTGGATTTCCAGCACAAGTAAAATCTGTCCTCCTCTAGCGAAAAAAAATGACTAAAGAGAAATAGGTTGCCATCTTTTAATTTGTTAAATTAAAAACATTAAGCACACATTAAAACAATTACCATCTACTGTCACCATTGTTTTATAAAGGGAAGGATTTATTTCAACATTAAAAACAAGTAATACTATTATAATAAAACAGTCTTTTTTTTTTAATATTTTATTTATTTGAGAGAGAGAGAATGAGAGATAGAGAGCACAAGAGGGAAGAGGGTCAGAGGGAGAAGCAGACTCCCCGCCGAGCAGGGAGCCCGATGCGGGACTCGATCCCGGGACTCCAGGATCATGACCTGAGCCGAAGGCAGTCGCTTAACCAACTGAGCCACCCAGGCGCCCCAATAAAACAGTCTTTTAAAATAAAATTAGCTTCATGAAAAATTCATTGTGTTACACTTATTTTTCTCATCATGGGCCTGGTAACATCATCCCAAGGCATGGAGCTAAATTTTTAGCAACTACAGATATAAGTGGGTTGAGAAAATATTTGGCACCATGTGAGATACTTTGATTCATTAGGAGAGCTACAAGCCTGTGTTGCCAAAATCTATCTTAGCCAAGACCAATTCCTTGCCTGAAATCTCGCCACAAAAGAAGGAATCAATGAAAATCTTGGGTCAGCTATAGTGGTATTATATGTACTATTACATCAGCTCATATATCCCTGCTTTTTTTTCTATAAATTTGATATTCACTTTCAAAAAGAACCAAAGACAGCTAAGTAAAATAGATATAATTATTTGTTACAGTTGTTAATTATTGTAAAATGGGGGTCAGATAGTAAAAATAATTGAAAGTGAGTAAATTTATCATTTAATTAAAATAGAAACAAACACATGCAAATAGTCTAGACATTTCTGTTAACATTACTTTTGATCAGGGACAATGCAGTATTTCTCAAGTTTCCTTTTATGAAATACAGAAATTTAATTTTTTTCTTTAATGTTATTTGAAAATAAATATTGTGACTAAATTCAAATCAGTGCAAAAAAGAAAAAACAACCCTTCCTTTATTTTCAATGTAAATGTGCTCTCCTCTCCCCCTTCCCCATTTCTGACTTGACTTTCCCCTCTAACCTGCTTCCAATCCCCTCTGCACCCCCCCGTTCTGTTGAAGATGAATTGTTTAGTGAGTACATGGAAGTAAAACTGAACAAAAAGCATCATACGGTAGACCCCGTCATCTTATGCCCATAAAATTTTACCACTGTAACTTAAGAATTTTGACTTTGTGAGGACAAATTACTTGTCCATTAAGTATTCTGAGTATTCTGAGGAAATTCAACAGCAGTTATATTTTGGATTATAGGAAGTTTTGGGGGAAAAGGCAGAGGTTTAGAAAGTCCCAGATGATGCTATATTGGTACCAAAATACCACAACAGGTATGTGCCATGGGCCAGGAAGCTGAGTTCCTACACTGTAGCAGTGTTTGGGGAAGGTGGTAAGAGTAGGGTGGACTGTGTGAGGGAGATGGATGGTGAGTTGAGGCTGGGAAGGGGTGAATGTGAGACTTATCCACTTAACACTTCTGTCTAGGAATGGGGTCTTACTCAGGTTTTAATCACTGTTTTAGTCTCTGATCATAGCTTGGTTTTTGATGGGAAGCCTAAACCTTCCTACAATTGGTTTGTTTGTATTAATGAACCGTCATTGCCTACGAGTTTATTCCGCACAAGGACTCATGAAGCCAACTCAACATTAAAGATGAGAAGTGGGTTAGAGGGTTGGATAGTATTAACATTAGTACATGTCTTTGACACATCAAACACTTCTTGAAATATAAAATTTTTATAGCACCATGTAAGTGATCCTATAATAACAGTCTGGGAAACAATTCTCAAACAAATTAAATCTTTAACTATTATTTTTGCCACAGACCACAAACCATGCCTAGAAAATTTGCCCATCAGGATCCTGCCAAGAAGATATGTGTTTTATCCATGAATTTTAGAAATAGCTTTCTTATATGCAGGTACTTCTGTCTATGATAACTTCCCCTTCCTCGATGTTGGTGTACTATTTGGAAGGGCTATTTATATGAAGTTTTACATACTGATTCTGAGTCCTCAGGGTAGCTTCATTTCTATTTTATAAGCCACCTACATGGAGGCAGGTCATATGATCATCAGTGAGATAAAATCAAAGAAACTCTTTGGCAACTCTTAGTAGGAATTAACAATCTTCCAAATATCACAGTGAGTTGTTCCCTGGGCCCTTAGTTTTGTAAGTCTCATAGGGTCTAAGATTTAGTCTCAAAGGTGTAGGAGGGGAGAGTGGGAATTCTGAGATTCAGAGTGTGGCTATTACTTCCTGACACATCAAGCAAATTTACAACACATAAAATTAAATTTTTTTCCAACAGCTTAATTATAATAATTATTTCTCCCTGGGTAGGCAGGTGGTCCAGACCTGGCACCACTCTGTCAACTTCGACTCGTGCCTTACCACTTAGGGGGTCAAGGCAGCCGCTCTAGCTCTTGCCAGCTTCCAGTCTTCAAGAGGGGGATGGGCAGGGGACTGAAGGAGTCACCTTAACTGATGTTTCATTGCTTCAGTTTTATTT